CCCTCAGTAGAGTGCTGTGACATCACAGCTCACAGCAACCTCCAACTGCTGGGCTCAAGCCATTCTCTTGCCTCAGCCTCTCAAGTAGCTGAGACTACTGGCACCTGCCACAGTGCCCGGCTACTTTTGTTGTTGTTGTTGCAGTTTGGCCAGGGCTGGGTTCGAACCCGTCACCCTTCGTATATGGGGCTGGCACCCTATCACTGACCCTCAGGCCCAGTAGATTTAATTCCAGAAACCTACTGCCTCTTCCCCAAATTCCAAGACTCCAAGCCCCACCCACTCCGGCCTGTTTTAGAAAGGCCAGAAAGTGATACCATGGTGCCCTCTCTGTGCCTGGCACCAGCCTGGGTATTTTGTGTGTGCTATCGTGTTTCCTGCTGGCTCTTTAAATAATCACAGGTTGATTATTTTCCTGTGGCACAGAGTGTGATGCATCTAAGGTCACACAGCCACCAAGAGGAAGGACTAAGTTTCAAACTCAGAGCTGGCTTCTTCTAAAGTTATCATTCCAGGCCTCCTGAGCCTTCATCATCTGGCATGCCCAGAGCCCCCAAACACCCTTGCTCTGCTATAAGCTGCCCCTGAGGCTGCAGGGAGAGGGCTAGGTGGGAGGGCAAGTACGTTGATGGGATAGACCCTGGCTGGGCACTGTGGCCCCATTCTAGGCCTTGGTTTTCTGATCTATTACAGGCAGAAGAAGCATCTCCCTCCGAGGGGCACTGTGAGAATCTGTATGTAAAGCATTTAGTGTAGTGGCTGGTTCTAAAAACCCAGCCATATTTCTGTGTCTCAGTGAAACCTATTTGACCCTAAACCCTGTTAGCCAGTGACCTAGCTCCTGGGCCCTGTGGGAAAGAAGCATGCCAAGCCCAGTTGAGTCTGTCAAGGTGCCTGGACAGGGCTTGTGCAAGAGCAAAAGGGCAGCAGGGCTCCTGCCCACAGAACTGGGGGGTCAGCATCCTGCACCTGGAGTGACAAAGTCAGACAGATGTTGCCTGTTAATTGTAGCCCTGCTTGGCAGCCCAGAGCACAGAATGCGGCTGGGCCGTTCAGTCCAAAAAGGGGAACTTGTCCAGGTGGCCTTCTGAGACTTCCTTCTTGGCTGGGGACTCCCTTCCAAGCCTGGGCTCCTGTTCCTATTCTCTGTTAGGAGGGCTCAGAGCAGGCTCTTCATCCTGGTACTGTCTAGCCAGCCAGCCACTGTCTGATGAGCAATGGCTGCAGGCCGGGCACTGCTGGGAAACTGCTGCCGGAGTGGTGAGAGGGGCACAGCATGCAGCCTTGTGTAGGGCAGGGTGGGTGCAGGGCAGTGAACAGCAGGGCTGCGGGATGTGGTGACTTGTGCTCTATCGTGTGAAGAGATGCAGGGCATGGCCTTGTCATCCTGGCTAGAGGACTCATAACTCCATCCCTTCTGCGAAAGACGCTGCCTGGAAGGGTTTATCTCAGTGGCATGCTGGTGGTTTTCAGATGACTAGGCAGGCAGGACAGGAAGTTATATATAAAATAGAACTTCCTCAGAGCTGATGAGTAGCAATGGGCACCTGAGAAGAGATCGTTATGGGATCCTTTCTGGTGGTGACCAAGTCCTTGCCAGCCACCACAGACTCCCTAGACTACAGACCCATGTGTTATGTGGCAGCAGGACCTGCCATGGGACTCCTGAGAGAAGCATTGGCGGGTGTCAGAAAGGGGATTAGTATGTGGTGTGTGGACAGCAGAATGGGCTCTGGAGCTCAAACTCCAGGGTTCAAGTCCCTTCCTCCCCATTTACTAGAGTGTGATCTTGGGCAAGTTATTTAACCCTTATGTGCCTCAGTTTCTGCAACGATAAGGTGGGTGGAATAAGACAGGTGGAATGTTGCAGTAGATTTTACCATAAAAATAATAGTACCCAACTGCTCACCTACAGGATGCTTGGCACCCACAGGTTCCATATTTCGAAACTGCACACAGGACGGCTGGTCGGAAACCTTCCCCAGTCCTGACCTGGCCTGTGGGGTTAATGTGAATGGCTCTTTCAATGAGAAGCGGGTAAGCCTGTCACCCTTCACCTCGCAACCCCAGGGTGGGAGAGAGGACCGGATGAAGCCAGCCAGGAGTGGTGGTCAGGATCTGGGAGCTGCCCTCTGACTTCACATCCCTGCTTATCTGGGGTCCAGGGGGCTTGTTTCGCTGCCTTCACCTATCAACCTGGAGATGTTAGGAAGATGCTGGCACAGTGAGAATTGCTATACACCGCCATGAGACTGGGGGTGCTTCATTCATTTAATCAGAAAAGAAGTTACCTGGTAGTGGCTAAACTCTCAGAGCCAGGCTGGTGAGTCTGAATTCCAGCCTTGACCTTGGCTGAAGAGGGCTTAATTGCTCTGTGCCTCAGTTTCTTCATCTGGAAATGGGGATAATAATAGTTCTGACTGCACAGGCTTGTCATGAGAACTTTAATAAATGACTTAATACAGAGACATGCTGAGATAGCGTCTGGCCACTTTACAAGTTCTCAGTAAATATTTGCTTTCAGAGGAGTCTTTGGCTCTGATAAGCAAGGACAGCACCCAATGGCAGAGTAGCCTCATCTGAGAGGAGGCTTATTCTGAGCAACAGGCTAAACTTCTGAAGGGACCTGCAGAGGCTCCCTCTGGAGTTAACTGGCGGGGTCCAGCCCAGGCTCAGCTCACTCTGAGTCATTGTCCCTTCCCAGGATGGCCCTATATCTCACACATGCTGTGCCCCCGTCCCAGCCTTTGTCCCAGTGTGGCCCCTGCCTGGAGAACACTTTCCCCCTCTCTTTTCCTGACTGATTCTTACACTTCCTTCCAGACTCCACTCACCCATCAACTCTAGCCCTTCATCCCCCCCCTGTGGGAAGGGCTCCCTCAGTACTCTGTGCTGGCCTCTAACTATTACCTACCCGCCCCCCCCCACCTTTTTTTGAGACAAAGTCTCACTCTATTACCCAGGCTGGAGTGCAGTGACATCCTCAAAGCTCACTGCAACCTCAAACTTCTGCACTCAAGCAATACTTTCTGCTTCACCTTTCGATAGCTACAACTACAGGCACCCACCACCATGCCCAGCTAATTGTTCTATTTTTTGTAGAGATGGTGTTCATTCTTGCTCAGGCTATTTTCAAACTCCTGGCCTCAGGCACTTTGCACCTGCAATGGCAAAATCAGTCAGAGCCTTGACCTCCCAGATTGCTAAGATTTTAGGCATAAGCCATTGCATCCAGCCAACTACTCTTTTATAGTAAAATGATTGGTATGTGCCTTGCCCCTCTATCTTTCTCACTAATGTGTGATCACCTCAAAGGCATTCTTTCACTCTACGAACATTTATTCAGCACCTGCTGTGGGTCAGGCTTGGGTCTAGGCTGAGGATACTACAGGGACACATCAGAAAGAGTTTTCTTCATTTCCAGATCCCCAGTGCCCAGCAAATGCCTGCAAAGTGCCCAATAAATATCTGTGGTTATGCCACATCTACTGTATGCCAGTTGCTTGATGAGCCACTGTGTTAAATCCTCAAAATAATCCTGTAAGTTCATTGTTTTTCCCACTTTGCAGATGAGGAAACTGAGGCTCAGAGGTTAAGGAAGGAATATGCTTATAAAGTAGTATAGCCAGGTTTTAAACCAATCTAGTTCCATCCTCTATGTTCTACTCTCCTACCCCACTGAGGTATGCGTCGCTGTGGGAGGTACACTTTTGTCAGTCTCATTAGCCAAACTCTTCAGAGGGACTATGGGTTGGCAAGCTTGCTTGTCCCTTGGAGGGAGGGGTTGGGTATATTCCAGAAACATCAGGGGAGAGCAGCATAATTAAGGGAGAGCGGATGAAGTTGGGTGGCAGACCACACCCATTCTGAGTTTTTCTGACTCCTCTATCATCAGCAGCCAGGTTCTATATGAAAGAGGGTGAGCAGGGGACCAAGGTAGCAGCTGCAGTTTCTTTCCTCACAGGGCTTATCCAGTTGGGGGTTATATAGATCTTCAGATCTGTCCCAGATTTAATAATGGAACCCAACAAGGAATGGGCATGGACAGCCTTGCAGGGATGGTGACTGGGCTCTACCCTCTGCAGAGGACTCTTTCTATCATTGACTTATATGAAGGCAGGGGCTTCTGAGTATCAATTTGTAAAATCCATAAAACTAATAGAGAACATTCTTATGATAGGTAGTTGGATGGAGGCTCAAAAGGATGCTTTGGGCTGCAAATAACAGAAACTTATTTTTATTTTTTTAAATTTATTTTTAAATCTAAAAATTTGTTTGGTTTAGTAAGCAAATGCAGCTTCAGGATCCTTTAATGAAACACCACTACAAAATCTCCAAGGACCAGGTTATTTCCATCTCTCTTCCTGCTGTTTTGGGGGCTTCTTCCTAACATTGGCATTCCTTCCATTGTAAGGTGACTGCCACCAGCAATTGCAGCCACAGACTTTCCCATTCCTGCTTGCCCAGGAGGAGAAACAGCCTGGTCTCCTGTGGTTCTTTCCTACTAGCAAGAAAGCTAGATTCTTTCTCAAACGCACTCCTTAAACCTGTCCTCACATCTCATTGGCCCAAAGTAACTTAAACCTGCCCACCCCTGAACCAATCACTGACAGAGCCACATGATTGGCTTAGAGCAGCAGTTCTCAAGTTTGGGGGTCTCAGGACCCCTTTACACTGTTATAAATTATTGAAGGCTCTAAGATAAGGTGACCAGATTTTAACATTGGTAAAGTGGGACACCATTGATGGGGGTGGGGGTGGGGAGGAGGTTCTTAATTAAAAATTTGGTCTATATGGAGCAATAAAAATTTTCATAGAATGCAAAAATAGTATTGTAATATATATATTTTTAATTTCAACATAAGTACAATTTACAAATATAATACATTTGAAAAAATAATGCATAGGGCAGCGCCTGTGGCTCAAAGGAGTAGAGCGCTGGCCCCATATGCCGAAGGTGGCAAGTTCAAACCCAGCCCCGGCCGAAAAAGAAACAAATTATGTATAGTATTATTTATTCTTTAGCTTATTTCTCATTTGAGTGAATTTTTTTTTAGTAGATTGCTGTTGTTGTTTAAAAGGTCATGAAATTTTTCACAAGAATTTGTTAAATTATATTTCACACATAAAATGGCTTTCAAAATCTCAACACTTAATTGTGATTTTTCTGATGTCCATACTTTATTTACTGTAGGAAAAATGCGTTCAGTCGCAGCCTTAGTTCCTGGTAAGGACAGCGTGTATCCCACAATTTGTAGTGCATTATTGTATGGAACATTGTTTCAAAATTATGAAATATTTTTAAACATTTGTTCTCTATTGTGATTTTTGCTGATGCCCAAGGGTTAACCTTTTCCTTATCAATATATTTTTTTAATAATGATACCTCGTAAGTTGTGTCATTTTCAAGGCCGGCGCTAGATTTTTTGCTGCCACTATAAAATATAAATAATACGAATACCGTCTGCTAAATTCATGAAATAAATAAATTACTCACCTAAATTATCTGAATAGCTGACTTGTTGACATCACTTGTTTAGCACTAGCCCACAGTACAATCGATGTGTCTCATCTGAGAGACAGTTACAAAATGTTTTCATCAAAAATGCCATTGTTCATTAAGTC